ATGTGACGCTGGTCAGAGATGAAAAATCTTAATGCCTGACGACGTATTTTCCGTTTTTACAGGTTATGCAGTTATTTCAAAAACCTAACAACGCTAGTGTACGTAAAAGACAGAAAAATAAGATTTTAATCTTCGGTTTTTTCGTTAATGGGTTACACAGTTTTTCACTGTCTATCAATTGACATAAAAATAAGATAGCCTCCCAATATCACGATTTTCAATTATAAAGTTTAGCTTTTCCCTTCGCGTGATGCGGTTTTATCGAGTCTTTTCCGCACTAAAGCCCAATCACTAACGCTATCAGATGACGCGAAAATCCAGCCTCTGCTTCTAAAAACAGCCACCCTCGCCACTTTCGAGCCAAAAACAAAATCCATGCAAATCAGATGGTCGTTTCCTAGTTTTTCCGTTCCGCTCTCCCGGATGTTTCCTTCCCCCGTGAAAAAAAGAGACATTGTGTGTGCGGGTTGGTCTAAAAAGCCGACAATTTACGGGGTAGAGAAGAGAAACGGGCCATGAGGAAAGAAGAGTAATACGATGGGGTCCTATTTACGCGACCGAGGCAGAAGACGTCCCTTCTGTCGTTTCTTGGAGGAGGGATAGCCTCCTGTGCCTTCTGGCTCATTTTCCTCCCGTCCCTTCCTCCTCTCCATTCCATCCAAATACCCTGAGGTCATCTCCGATTCTCGGTCTCGGGCCGGCCACCAAAAAAACACAAGCCTCCCCCTTCTGGGGCGTCGTCCCATTGTTTCACGAGTTCAGAGGTCCATTCACAATTCAAAAACCAAAGTTTACGAAATGGAAGTTTTTTTTGGGCTAACTAACTTGCAGAGAAGCTTTAGGGGCACTTTAAAATGCCAAAATAATTTTGCTAGTTGAAAAGGATGGTTATGCAGTTTTTTAGGCGCAGGTCTGGTGGAAAGGACCTCTCCGGTAGTTCCTGTCCCATAAAACAAAATGTTACAAATTTCAAACTTGTTTTTGGACTTACTGCCTTGCAGAGAAGCTTTAGGAAGCTTCGAATAATCTTGAACATTTAAGCTAGTCGAAGTACAAGTTATGCAGTTTTTGCTAATGGGCCGCTGAATCACCTCTACGACGCCTTCTGCCCGATAAAACCTAAGTTTTAAAACTCGAAAGTTATTTTTGGGCTTACTGACTTGCAGAGAAGCTTTAGGAAGTTTCAAATAATCGAAAAAATTAAAACTAGCTGAGATCCAAGTTATGCAGTTTTTGCCACCTGATCCCAAATACACCTGGCCAATGCTTCAACAGAATTCCTGATTTGCAATTAGCGCTAAATCCTAAGAACCGGATGCTGCTGGCTTTCCGGGTTTTGCCATACTTAATCTACCATACAGCTGGCGCACCTGTATCGCGCTTAGAAAATAATATTTTTTTTCTGGAGGTAAAACTACACAGCCGATTTTGTAATATTGACGATCAATGCTGAGCTTAGGCATCTTTCTGGGGCACACTGCCATGCAGTACACCTGTTCCATTCTTTTTGCAGACAGCCCGATTTGTGATCTTCTTAAAAAGTAGCCATTCGTATGAAGTGGACTGGCTGCATCCCCCTTCCCCTTCTCTACCCATTGTTCACGGCCATTCCATTCTGCAATCTTTGCCGCCGTGCTTTGCTCGAAATGCACCAAAAAACAAGGAATGTTCCTTCCTGGTACGCAAATGGCACGTTGGGTGTTATCAAATCTTGAATTTTTAGGGCGGTTTTTGGATGCCATAAGTTTACAAAAAGCTAAAAATATTTTGCCTAGCGGTAATAGTCGAAATTTAAAAAACTGCATAACTCGGACCTTTCATCCCAAGGTCAAGTGAGGAGTTGTAACGTGTTTTCCGGGTGCCAAATCGCGTTTAGAAACAGACCTTCCAAAATACGCTAATTTGGATTTGGCCGTGGGCGGCGACAGTTTTCACCGGTTATCTGGTTTCAAGAAAGCTTAGAGCGGCCAGAAAATTTGGTTGACCATGTATTCCAGGTTTATAAAAATTGCATAACTTAAATTTTGGACCGGCGAGCAAGCTAACGCTTTTAAAGAGTTTTATGTTTTCCAGAACGCTCAAAACATCAAGTTTTAGAACGAAAATTTCCGATATTGCAAAAATTGTGAAACTATGGTGCTCTGCTCCACCCGCGGGTACAAATTTGATAGTATCGCCTTGTTTCTTCTACCCTCCAGCTCAGCTTCTCCCCCTCCCACGTAATGGGATAAACTTTACGATGGCACTTCCGGTGGTCAGGAGCAAGAGCGCAAACTGGGCACGGAACCCCTAATTTCGTTTTTTGTTTCCAGTTTTTTGGTATGGCCCGCCGAGGAAAGGGATAGGGCCCTACTTTGGAACATCACGGAAGACATGGGCCAAAAGGGGCAGAATGTCATGAATCGGGATTAGACCGCACATCACAACTCCAGCTTTTCTGCTTTCCGTTTCCGGGGATCATGGCGTTCACCTAGTTGCTTCCGGTGGGCGCCAATCCGAAAAACTGCATAACCCATTTTTGCTCAGCCGGGCTGTAAATTCCGTTTGTTACGCTAGAACGCCTGCCAGTTATGCAAGGAAAGGACATGAGAAAACTGCGTAACTTATTTTGTAGCTTGCGGGTCTGATTTTGAATTTTATCTATTGCCCTCTAGCCAGTTGGAAGGATACGAAAAATAAAATTTCCGGTAAAAGCTATTTTGCACGATTTTTTAGATTAGCCGAAAAACTGCATAAGCATAACTAATCTTTGTAGCTTGCAGTCTATATTTTTGTTAATTTATGTATAATTTCCGCCAGTAATACATATTTCAATGTTTGAACCTCAAAAACCTAGAACCCGATCTTCATTGTTATGAAATTCCCCGAAAATTGCATTTTTTGGGCTCGAGCTCCAGAAAGCGTCATTGTCGGCATTTCTTCGAGTGCCAGCTAGGGCAAGAAAGGGAGTCGAATCCACTCTATCCCTCTCCTCTTCCTCTCGTAAATAAAATCATATTCTCTGGTCAATTTGTGCCGCGCTCTCTCTTCTCCAGTACCTTTTCCGTGATCTGGTCATAAGGCTCTACTCATCCACAATGTTTCTTGATATCTATTATTTATTTAATATAATTATTTGATATATTTATTTGTTTCATCTTACTGTAATCCATAGAAAATAATATCGTTTTTTTTGCCCTTCAAAAATTCTCTCCCTCTGGAAGAAAAGGAAAGAAAGAAAAGGACCTTAAAAAGCAGGTTATGCTGGTTATGCAGTTTTCCATTCCAGGCCCCACCCTACCTCGCTATGATAATACGGATATGTTATCTGATAACCCACTGTATACCGTGGTGGCCAGAAGCACATATGGTAACTTTAAAATCAGGTTTTCTAAGCTAATAATTTATTTAGACGCTCCACCAGACCATTATCGAATTCTGGACGACATTTTCGAGCGTTACAACCGGGAGCTAATCCCGAAGAAGAAGCAAAATGAGTCGGTCCACATCTATTTTTCCATGGAATTGTATCAGATTATTGAAGTGGTGAGTGGCAACTACAAAATACAGGCGAAATTTATATTATAGAACGAACCGCAGCAATATTTGATGCTGAATGCTTGGATTGTAGAGGTGGGTGGCAATTTGTAGTTTATAGTTGACTTTTTCATAGCTTTTATGCTGTCTAAAATTCAAACTGTCTATCAGAAAACCTATATATTGATTTTTAGCGGTGGTACGATAAGCTGTTACGATGGAATCACACGGGATTTCAAGCAACGTCTCCGAGATTATGGTCCCCATCATCGTATCTGGCTTCCAGACACCACGCTCTACAACAGGTTTGACAATTTAATTAGTTTTTAAGCTTTTTTGGGTGGCAAGATACAGTATGAATCTTTTTAGCTTGGTTATGGAGGACCGGGATACGCGACGTCTTCTAAATGCCAAACTGACCACCGGGCCAAAAGGCGCCTACATTGAGCTCCTATATCCAACCATATACAAACTGAGTTGCAACCTGGATTTGAGGTTTGTTTAACTGGCTATTGGACAGGGTTTTGAAGCTTTTGGAATTTTGTCAGATCCGTTGCCTGTCGCTCTTTGAGTTATGCAGTTTTTCACTTAATAGGGGCCAAGTTTAATTATAGGTTAAGTTTTTACTATATTAGTATGCCTGTTGCTCTCTGGGTTATGCATTTTTTGCCTAACTGCTAACCACGCTATGTTTTTTAATTTAGTTTTTTTGCTTTTCCTGGGCGGCCCGTTGCCGTTTTACTTATGCAGTTTTTCGTTGACCTGACCAACGAGCTGTAATTGTCAGTGTTATAGAGTAATTGTCAGTGTATAGAATTTTGTTTTCCGTCTGTCCAGGGCTCTAGTCGTTATGCAGTTTTTATTTAACTGGCTATCAAGCTGTACCTTCGCAGTTAAAGAAATTTATTTATCTGTCTGTTTGTTGCGCATTCAGTTATGCAGTTGTCGATTTCGTTACCCATTTTATGCGCTTATGCAGTTTTCCATCTTTCAGATTTTTCCCTTTCGACATCCAAGTATGCAAGCTAATATTTGGCAGTTGGACATTCGATAATACCTATATCGACTATCATCCCTATAATGCCCAATTGGCCATCGGTACTACGAATTGCATCGAGAATGAGGGGTGGTGGGTCATTGGGACAAGTGGTAAGTTATAAGCCTCATTAAATAGATATATTTATATCTTTTTAGTTACCAGAAGAGTGGAAAAATATGCTTGTTGTCCAAATAACTATACTCTACTCGATTTCTACCTTCATATACAACGGAAACCACTCTATTACGTTATAAACTTGATTACTCCAACGTCTATTATTACGATTATATCGATTGTTGGATTTTTCAGGTTTGAATTTTTATTAAGATTTTAAGCTATATCTTTTAGTTGCTCGTCAATTAATGAATTACGCGAGGAAAAGATTTCGTTGGGGATCACGACCTTATTATCGATGTCAATTTTGATATTTATGGTGTCAGACAAGATGCCTTCTACCTCGTCGTTTATACCCTTGATTGGTTGGTGTTTTTACACGGTCTGTTTGTCTGTCTGTCCGTCCGCCCTCGGTTGTTCTTCCTCCTTTTTTCCCTGTAAACAACCTCAAGTTTTTTGGGTTTTGTGAAACCGGGTTTTTTTTGGGTGGTTTTTCCCCTTTCTTTGTTTTAAAAAATTATCAATTTGTCTTTCTGTCCATCTGTTCGGCTGTCAGTCTGTAATTTTTTCGATCTGGCTGTCTGTCTGTCGAATCGTCAATATTTTTGTCACCTTACCTAAAGTTATGCAGTTTTTCAAAAATCGTGGATTTTCAGGCTGGTTCTACACGTGTATGATATTGTTAATATCATTATCCACCCTTCTGTCATCCGTTATAATCTACATTCAGAAGCAGGGAATATTGGGGAAACCGCCAAGGAATGGTACGTTATGCAGTTTTCTAAAGTTCCTCTGAAACTGAGAAAAATAGGTTTTCTGGAGATTAAAAATTAGCTTATCACTCAATTTGGTAGCCAATTAAGCTAAAAAATTACGAACTGTCACGATACCTTGAAATCCGTAACATTTTAGAAGTGATGCGATACGCGAGAGTTGTCGGGAGATTCGTCCGGATGGAACTTCCGCTTTTAATGCGTCAAGCCTACGCACAGAAGGCACGAGTGGGCTGCTTTCCTTTTCTTTTCTTACTGTCTAACTCCTAATATTTCTATACTTTACATGTCGTGTACGAATAGATAGACTGCATGACAGGCGACAGAAAACAACCAAATTTTCAGGAGGATCGCCTGCGGAAAACGCAACGTGCCCGTAAAGAGACAATGTGGCAGAAAGTATACAAACTGTCCAAGGTCTCCTCTCCTCTTACTTTCAAAAAGACGTTACAACCCAATGTAAGGGGGTTCGAGAATGGAATTGAATGGAAAAGAATGGAGTGGAATGCGGGACGGGGGATCGGTGTTGAGCTCGGGTTATGCAGTTTATCCTAAAAATTATTCCAGCTTCGTTGATATCGTTCTGAAACCGTGACGGCTTATTAAATTTAGGATTCTGACAACCACTGACCATTATTAGCTAACCTTCGTATATTTTTGATCACGAAGTGTGGTATGCAGTTTTTTAAAATGCACATTTTTGACAGAAATCCTAGCCAGTCGATGTAGATCGATCGATATTGGGCGGAAAGGGTCCAGGTTATGCAGTTTTTTATAAAAATGATTCTCCGATAGTTAAGGTTTCTCGGCAAATTCTTCTATTGAAGAAATTTACGGTTCTGCCACGCAACTGTCATTTTGAGCTGAAAATTATGGCAAATGGCAGAAAGCGTTATGCAGTCTTCCAAAATGCGCATTTTTTGAGCGGCGGCTGCTCGAAATTCAATTGCACGCCGGGATTACTTTTTCTGCATGGCAATAAGCAATTTAATAAGTTTTTCCGTTTATTTCGGTGCACTAATAGGTTATGCAGTTTTTCAAACCCTGTTCCCTGTCGATCCCCCGATCCCCTACCCGCTCCCAGCTTGCCTTTTTGCCCTCACATTTTTGCTTCTTCTTTGCGAATGGTTGACAGTTTTAATATAGAAAATGTTATACTTAGAAAATTAAACAATTTAGTCGCACTCGCAGCCGAAACATCTCAATAAGCTGGGCGATGAAGAAAATGGAGAGCTACCACAAGAAAAGCCAAGGAAAGGCATCAACATCAGCCAAGAAGTCCTCAAAATAAGTGAGTTTCACGGGCCCAATAATATTTTCGGTTTGCTTGCCATCCAGTTGATCGGATTTAACGTCTTAATCAGTATAATTTTGCTTGCTTTAACCCATTCTACCTTTACAAAGTTTTATAGTCATTTCAGACGGTACAAACGGAGTGCCAGAATATACTCCAATGGGGGATGTTGATCAGGATGATGATACTGGATATATTGATGGAATGGTAAGGGATATACATCGCGTAATTGGATATACATATCGTAATTGGATATACCTATGGAAAAACGTAATTATGAGCACGAAAAATGATTATGTTGTTCGAATTCCCTGCTATTGCAGCGGATTAAATCCGAAATTTCTAAATTCAGTTTAATTATATTTATTTTAGGCCGTAATCGAATAGCTTAAATATTCTTTTAGGAAGATGTGGATCTCCCTCCCTCAAAATTCCTCCACAAAACGAGCACATCCCAGTCGATTGACAGTGCGCTGAGACTAGGCGTCAATCTGGAACGTAAGTCCCTTCACTGGTCCTTTAAAACAAGAAATATTTTAGTTTTATGGCCTTTGCATGACAGTATATCAATTCCAGCGGCTGCCCCGCGCACACCACGGAATTTAGCGGAGTTGGAGTACGACTGGCTGGCGGCTGTGGTTGAGCGGGTACGTTAGAATCTCAAAGCTATTCGATTACGCGATGAAAAGTGGCGAAAAGAGTAGTGACGCGTAGTTTGCCTGGCAGTCTGGCTTTTCACACTAAAGTTGCAAATATTAAATTTTGTTTTAGCTGGTTATAAAAGTTTGACAAATCAATCGATTACGCGATATCATTATCACAAAAAATATCGGATTACGATATGAAAAGTGCTGCAAATAGAAGTAGCTCGTACTGCCGGGAATTCAATTTTTTAAATTAAAATGATAATAATAATGTTGCTTTATATGACTTTAAAATTTAAAAAAACCAATGCGATAAAATCCATTGCAGGTGTGCCTGATCGTGTTCACGTTCTGCTGGGTGTTGATGACATTCGGCATCAACTCGATTGGTGTCTATTATTGGGCATCTGCTCGTGTCACTTGAAGAGACGACAAACTACAGTACCCCGAGAGTGACTACAGTATTACGGAGCGATGCGGAACTACGGGACCAACCAAACTACATTCAATTCCCAGATTTTCCTTGTAAATGCGAGCTTCTTTGATACGGGATTTTCACAACGACGGCCATATTCTGTTATTATTTTTCGTGTATACAGGGTGTCCCAAAAAAAATCCCCCCTCCCCTAGCCGGCCGCAGACGGGTCCGATTTTTACGATTTAGGTATCTATCGAGGAAAGGCGAGACCAGCACGTCTTGCGGATTTGCGAAATGTCGGAATTTTTTGCTCGATTTCCGGCATTTTTCAGGCCAAAAGGACAGACTTTTTTTGTTCAAAACGCAATTTAATCGGTTTAAGCGCTGTCCAAGCTGTGTTTTGGCAAACGGCTTTCAAAAAGCTGTCGTTGGGTTGCCAGGAAACGCGTAGAAATTCTTAAATTGCGATTTTTGTAAAAAAAATCCCCTGGTCAGAACAACATCGAAGAGACGTGCTGGACTCGCCTTTCCGAGAGCTTTCGATAGATACCTACAGGGGCGTACACGAACCCGATTTTTGGGGGGGGGGGCAACTCGAAAATTTTTTGTCGACCTCCCCCGGTCACCACTTTCAAAACATTCAAAAATCGCAGCTATAACAGCGCCGCAGGCCGCAAAAAAATAAGGAAAAAGCGTTAGAAACGCTCAAATTCATGTAAAAACATCACAGAAAACGCGCCGCAGGCGAAAATTTTATATGGTCAGTTGACACACTAATGAAAAACAGCGCCGCAGGCAAAAAAAATTTTGGAAAAATAGGCTTCATAGAAGTAAAAACCGTTTTAAAAACAGTAATAAACAGCGCCGCAGGCAGAAAAATTTTTATTGAAAAAATCATAAGGGTCCCCCCTTATGAACTTTTCGGCCTTCGGCCGATTTTTGGGGGGCAAGTTGCCCCTGTTGCCCCCTCGTACGCCCCTGGATACCTATATCGTAAAAATCGGACCCGTCTGCGGCCGGCTAAGGGGGGGGGGGGGAATTTTTTGGGACACCCTGTATATGTTGATACTTATTTGATGGTGAAATAAAAACATTGATTTTTAAACTTTTGAAAATGCAAAAAGCTTTGATAAACTAATGTTTTTGAAGTTTGGTTATGCAGTTTAGGTTTTCTGACCGATAACTTAATTTTCGTACGGATTGTCGCGAAAAATATCGATGATTTGAGTTATGAAGTTTGCAGTTTTTGCTCTATCAGCTGAAAGCGCTTCAAACCCTTTATTTAGTTCAAAATGAGGATTGGTTATGCAGTTTAGCTTCACTGACCAGTAAGCTAACAACTTAAATAGCTTCCAGGTAAAAACAAAGGCTAAATACGTTATGCAGTTTTTCATCAGCTACCTGACAATCGCCAAGCCTTTTAGTAGTCATAAACCGTATAATCGTCCGGAAACTAGGTTATGCAGTTTTTTGTTGTCCACCAATCCCGATCCCCCCTTTTCGCGAGTAACTACCGCTTCGATGCCCTGTATGGAGATCATAAAATTGTTTGTGAGGGGGGATCGAAAAGGGTCAGTGGATGGATACCCATTCCACCCCTCGACCTTCCCCCCTAGAGAGAGACCGGAGGGGCAATTATACGACACGAGCCTCTGTGCACCGGATTACCCATACCCTGTGTTCTTCTCTCTCGCTATATGCCCTACGGTCACTCTCATTATGCATACCCCACTCTCAACACCCACACATACAGACAGACAGACGGACGGACGGACGGACTGACTGACAGACAGAGAGACGAACAGGCAGACGGACAGACGTATTCTGGCATCCAAATGAAAGGACCGTGTTCAAATCAACTCAAATAAGGTGTAAGGTCCAGTTATCTGAGGCGGCTAAAATCGCTAATCACACGTAATCCTTAAGGGAGCGTGACAGGAGGCTAATTCAGAAAGACTAACTGGCATCAGCACCGTCGATTGGTGGCACGATCCATTGAAAAATTCCTACCGCGAGGATATGCAGTTTTTGGCCCACGAAAAACTGCATAACTGCATAACCGAACAAATGGCTTTCGGCCAGTTCCGGTGATCGGATTCGAGTTTGTGCATCCCAGAAAGTGTCAAAATACCGAAAAATCTAAAATTTAACTGGAACCAGCTGCCTCATTTCAAGAGCACTCGCCAAATTGGTTGGTTCTTTTCTAAATCCATCCACAACGGTTTTATCTGTGTTACTGAAGAGTGTTACTGTCTGTGGATGCAGTTTTCTGATATCCGATTCCTACATCTACCTCTTGAACCAGTAGTCCCTCCGGCATAGAAATGTCGATAGGGGTATCGTGAGGGTACTGTGAATGGTCCACCCTCATTCATACGCACTCTCTCTCTTTCTCTCTCTCCTGTACCCATATCGGGACCCTTTTGATGGCCCTGAGGGCATCAATGAATGGCTAGAGAGTGAAGGAGAGAGAGAACGAGAGCGAGAGAGCGAGAGAGAGGGAGAGAGTGAGAGCGAGGCAGACAGAGAAATACACATCCATTACCACCACTCAACCCTTCATAAAGAGGGGCTCGAACGTGCGACAGTTCGATAGATGACTGACTGACCGACAGTCTCTCTTTTTCTCTGGCTATGGTCTATACACAGTCCCTCTCTCTCTCTTCCGGTCAGTGGATACCATGAAGGGGTCGAGGGGGGATGTATAGAAAGGTGTCAAATGGATACCCCACAATGGGACATCGAGGGTAGATTAAAGGGGCCGACAATGCGATGAAAATGGCTAGATTTGTGTGGTTTATCGTCTTTAGAAAAATGAAATTATGGATTTTGAAAATTGCTTTGCTTTTTAGCTGCTAACTGATATAAAATGGCTGACCAGTAGTTTGTAGTTTTCTAGCAACCCTGGCAACTTAATTTTTATCGGAGCTGGCAGCCAGTGAGCTCAAATTTTTGGAAAAAACCCGTCCCCTGCTGTGCTTTTCAGCATCCTAGTGCATGCCTAGCATGAATTCTATGGTCCGACTATCCATTCGAATGTCGATATGGCCAGTCTCGCGCTCCCCCTTCAATTCTTTCAATGGCCATTCCATGCCCTCCAAACGGTCACTCTCTCTCTCTCTCTCTCTCTCTCTCTCTCTCGCTCTCTTCCCCCCTTGAAAAGGCCCCTGTCCAAAATGCAAAAACCGTGTGGTGATCGGGTGCATGGATTGTGTCGAGGGGTGAGTGATGCAAAGCCACCTCCTCGCTCACACCCAAAAAAGGGCACCGCGGAGTGAAAAAGTGTTGGCTGACGGTCAAGGGGGAAGGCGGAGAGTTTTCTAGCGGTCAGATAGATACTTTGAACGGATTGGAGGTTATGCAGTTTTTCTAGGTTATGCAGTTTTTGATAGATCCAAGGTTATGCAGTTTTCCGAAGTTATGCAGTTTTTTTCACGATTATGTGTTTTTTGGCGGATTCGAGGCTATGCAGTTTTTGCCAAGTCGAAGTTATGCAGTTTTTGGGATCGACAGAGGTTATATAGTTTTTAGCCAGATCTAGCTGTTGCCCGGTTGTTGACAACATTATTTTTAACCTCCGAATGATTCACCACCGGATGTGCTCCCCAAAAGTCTTCACCCTGATTCGCACTCGATCACTGGGCCCTTTGGCTCGAAATGGGCCGACCCTTGGGGGACAGCCGCGGGATGGCAGTTGGCCAACAAGTGACCTCTACTAGCACTAAATCCCCCCTAAATCTCGGGTCAAAGCACGAAAAGGCACAAAATAAGATAGATAGGGTTTTTTCTGTCTGGCAAATAATAGATTTCTGCAAAAAATAATTTTCAAAAAAATTGATCTCGTGAAGTTTTCGGGATTTTATTTTTCGACTTATATTCCAAGCCGATCGAAAAAATTTTCTCTTTTCTATTTTGTATATCAGATCGAAAATTCCTGTAACGAAAGCCCCGGACAGCCGTCTCAAATTACCTTGTTTTGACGGTTTAGGGATACCCTCTGGGAGCCAAAATTTATTTTCTCCGGCCAGCCTATCCATCCCCGAAAATCGGTGGTTGGCCGGCCAAATGCGTGTTATTTGGGGAAACTGCATGGTAGCCATAGTTACCTGGGTGGATACTGGAGTGTAGGGGGCATCCACGAGTAATTATGCGCCGACAAGGCCGCTAGATAAGTTATGTAGTTTTTTTGGAAAATGGCGGCTTTTAAAAAAAACTGCATAACGGAAAAACGGGCTGTGGCTGTCGAAAAAGCCTAAAGATTAGGAAAATGGACTGTCAATTGACGAGTTGGGCTTCATCAGACTTGATTTTCTTTAGAAGTTATGCAGTTTTTCGAAAAACGGAGAATTTCTCCAAAACTGCATAACCGAGAGCCATGTCTTGCTACCAACATGTAAGCTGTGGTCCATATCACCCGATGTCATAGCGAGTTTTGCAGTTTTTCAGAAAATCCCTCCAATGTCCCCCAAAATTCCTCTAAACACGTAGTGCATCATAAGTCAACCAGACAGCCACCGGGGTTGTTATCGTTGCTTAGAATAACCGACTGTGGCCCGTAGCTTTCCAGTGCATTTCGTGTCTCTTGCTCGATTCTTTTGCTTGGGGGAATGTGTTGTTTTGAGGCCCCTCTCTGTGTGGTTCTGTTGTCCTCCGATGGCCCGAGGGGTGAGTTTTGGGCCCAAGCGAAAACGAATCGCGTGACTCGAAAAGAAGGGGAGGAGGAGGAGTTGTTGATCTGAGAATAAGCGAGTGGGCCGTGTTGCTCAGAATTGGAGATGATCGATGTTTTGAAGAGGGACAGAGCGTTGAACCGGCAGACCAACAGCCTGAAAATCATGTGTGACACTTTTTAAAGGTTCCTGGAAGCCAAAAAAACCCGTACTCCGATGAATCTACAAACCATCCTGCGCATTCCTGAACCTTCGGCCTTGCGATCGTCCTTTTAAAGGTGGACAGACAGCTCAATTGCCTGACAGACCGACAGAAAAATGTGTTCTTGTGCC